TACACTGAAAAATAGTGAAAATGATGTTTTCCACACTGAAACGTTGAAATAGGGGCAAAAATGCAAAAAAATGAAACGTTGGGACGTTTTGCACACTAACTATCAAACGTAGGGACGTTTTGTGCTAATAAGCCTTTTTTTTTACGATTATTGAGAGATTAAAAAAACAGTGCCCACCCATACTCCAGTCACATGCCCACGTGGCTATATTTCTGTTCCAAGAAAGTTTTATTGGTCCTTTGTGCACCGAACTGGCATAATCCAATCAGAGCTTTTCCCTCTCCTTCTAAACGTAGCACACTATATGGGCCCACTGAAACATGAAAATACCGAAGATGCCCCCAATACCTAGCAAAGATCATTTTAAATCACAGGGGTGGCTGTGTCTTTTAGGTCCAGCTACATAAACTGAAGTCAGCAGGCACAATTCTCATTTCCGCAACACTTCAGCTACATAAACTGAAGTCAGAAGGCACAATTCTCATTTTCGCAACACTTCCGCTCTGTTTTTGTTTTCATATTGATGATAATGGCGTCAATTTCCTCACTACTGTGTCAATTCCCGTGTAAAGAACTTCTATTCAGCGCTCAGAACTCAAAATTGATTGCTTCGTCTCCGATTAATTCAATCAATTTCTCGGGGGGAAATCTGGTGCAGAAGTCGAAGAGAAATTATGCACTCAAGGCGGTGCTTCCAGGCAAGCGGGGTCCAGAGAAGGATCCGAAAGAATTAGGAGTGGCTATGCTAGTGGAGCCACCACCAAAGGAACCATCGGAAATTGAGAAGATGAAGAAACAATTGGTGGATTCATTCAACGGGACAAATAGAGGATTGAGCGCCAGTAGTGAGACTAGGGCGGAAATTGTCGAGCTAATCACGCAGCTTGAGGCGAAGAATCCAACTCCGGCTCCAACGGAGGCTTTGACTTTGCTCAATGGCAAATGGATTCTTGCGTAAGATCTACCTTGATTTTTTCTTTAATATGAAGCTTTGCGTTCTTGTTTTTGTTTAAAAAAATGCTTGCATCTGTCTAAGAGTTACTTTTGACTTTCAAATTAATCAAACGTCAAATACTCAACGTATTTCTATTTTTTTTAGGTTTTTTATTTTAATTTTTTCTGCAACACTTTTTATAGCGCCTGTTTGGTTTGAATTAAAATCTAATTAAAATTTCAACAATTAAATTCAACCACACGGCTCACATAATTCACAATTTTTCAACCACGTATTTCATCGACAATAATCAAAATCTACTAAAAATTGTGATTTTAAGCTAAGTCTTTGCACAAGATGGTGTGTCATCGGTGCGAGAAAAAGAAAAAAGCAGTTTTAGTCAGTTGCATATGGATTTTAAACAAATCATCTGGATAACGGATCATTAACAAAGATCAATTATAGTCTACTGAACGAGCAAAGATAAATTAGAGGAATAATATTGATTTATGATGTATCTCATCTAGAAAAGTTTAAAAATCATTTTCTCCGTATCATAACATTATTCAGATAATAAAAATAGTGCAAGTTTTTCAAGCAACAATTTATGTTTCTTAGACATTTCTTAGTTTTTAAATGGAGCATTTAAGCCATCCGCCATGCCTACCTTCTAAATTAGGGCCCATTTGGCAGGCTTCTGAAAATCTAAAAGCTGGTTTTAGGACATGTTTGGATATTTTTTTGAAAATATTTTGTCTAACTAGAAGAAATTTCAGACGAACCTGACTTAACGTATCTTCCTCAGGAGGCTCTTCTACAAGAAACAGAAACAAAAGTAGAAGTCCAGCCAAATGAGCCCTTAGTGTATCAAAATTGGCCCGATGAGGAGCTGGAAATAGCTCACATAATAGTGTTTTGAACTTTAAAGTAAATGTTAGTTCATATCTCAAAAATATTTAGTTTTGTCACTTATTTAGCTGGTGAGTGAATCTAATATTTCATCATCCTTACTTCATAATATGTAGATTCTTTAACTGAATTATGTCTTTAGGACTTATACTGATATCTTATTCTCAACTCTAAAGGCCAAAAAAGAAAACCTGATAACTTGTTGCTATGAATAATATGCACATAGTTACACTTAAATTTGTATTTTATTTTTTTTTTTTTTGAGGCGTTGCAGTTACACATCATTTGTGGGTTTGTTTCCTTTGTTGTCAAGCGGCGCCAAAATGCCGTTGGTGAGCCTTGAAGAGATATCGCAGACCATTGACTCGGAAAATTTCACAGTTCAGAACACAGTACTCTTTGCTGGACCATTGGCAACCACTGCAATAACCACCAATTCCAAATTTGAAGTTCGAAGTCCGAAACGCGTGCAGGTTCTTCATGTTCCTAGATTTTTACATCTTTTAATCATTTCTTATGTCTGTAAAAAGCACACCAATATCGTTGGACTTGGACAATTTCTTAATCTTCAGTTCTTCATTAGTCTAAAGAAAAGTCCCATGAAGATCAACTAATTAGCTGTTTTGTCGTCAAATAGTTATAATGATTTTATATGATTCAAGATTCTTTATTATCTACCTATTTTATTATTGCCTAGTTTAAGACATAACCAATATTGCTTAAGCTCTTAAGTTTTCCAATACTTACTTGCAGATTAAATTTCAAGAAGGTGTCATTGGCACTCCCCAGTTGACAGATTTCCTTGTATTTGCGGAAAATGTTGAATTTCTGGGGCAAAAGATTGATCTCACGCCCTTCAAAGGTTTGCTCACTTCTGTCGAGGACACGGCTTCCTCTGTTGCAAAGACCATTTCTAGCCGTCCACCACTGAAATTTTCACTCTCCAACAGCAATGCCGAGTCATGGCTTCTAACAACATACCTTGACGACCAGCTTCGCATTTCAAAAGGGGATGGAGGTAGTGTATTTGTGCTCATCAAGGAAGGCAGCCCTCTTTTGACACCTTAGACAGATATATTGCTGACTTTCTACCAATATTGTTTTCATTTTGTTCTGAAGGGCATGCACATTACTTGTAACAATGCAGGGTGTATTACGGTATTCACATTTTCAAGAATTCATATTGAATTGAAAATCAAGATGTTGTATCTGAATCTTTCTTGCTTTCCAGGCAGTCTATTACCGATCCTCTATTTGCATGATCGTCTAACCAACCAACACAGCTGTACCTATTTTTCCAGATAAATTAACTGACAGATCTTGTTTTTGTCTGAACATCTAGATCTAACCTTAAAGGTGAATTCATTGGTCTTGCTTTTACCAGTTCAGCAGAATAGTGTTTTATGCAGGTTTATGAAAAAGGGATATCTACCTGGATGAATAATTACTCCACATCAATTATACTTACAATAAAGAAATAAATTAGTACAAACTTCATGGAATACCTCAAGTATGATGCCCCGATTTTCATCTGAATTCATCGTCAAATAATAATCTAAGAGGCTGCGAAGATCCTTAGCCTCACGAATACGGTTAACCATTATCATCTGCTCCATGGACTCTCTAAAATCCTCTCTGGGATCATAAGAGGATTTCTTCATTGCCACCGTAACAACGAACTTAGTTTCTCTACATCTTATCCTTCTTCTCTCTTCATTTCTTGCTTCTCGCCTTTCTCTGATCATTTGATCTAACCTTTCTTGAACCATGGCATGTGCAATGCTGGAGATAGAATGAAATCTAACAGAACTCGAGCTTTCGGCTTCTTCAGAGGAAGAAGATACACTAAGTCTGCAACTACAGCACAATGCCTTGCATCCTCTAAGTTGAAACTCGTGTTTTTTTACTTCTCTGAATCTTTTCATTGTTGAGGGTTCACAACGAGTTTTGAAGTAGAATGTGAGCAAAAAAAATCATTTATGCAATTAACAGTAGGTCACACTGATCATAATTATGTCTAGGGATTAAATTATAAATTATGTTCCAAAAGTTGCAGTCCGATTGGATGAGGAATGGAACTGAAATGTGGAACGTTCAGTTTATTTTTTAAGCTAATTTAGAATGATCATGATGCTACATAGATCCGCTTTAATTTTCTTTGTAGGATTGTATTTGGTGGCATGCTTTCCAATTGTTGTTGAACTAACCTAAAGTAAGTGAAATTAATATGAATAATGCTTTGTGTACAATTCATGGTTGACAAGGAATTTGACAATCCTTATTGCATATGAATTTTCATGATTGCTATGCTGAGTATCCAATATTTATTGAAGCTATTACTTATAAATTCTAACACATTGTATGAACTCTACTTTTGTGAAACTGATGAAGATACCTTCCTGATACGATCGATGTGGGGTCTGGACAGCAACCACGATCGTCTGGCTGTGAATGTTAGTGCATCGGATTATATAGTTACTTGCAAAGACAATGCATTGCGGACCATCGCTTTTACTCCGTTTATCATTTAAGGTTGTCAATGAAATCTGCATTTCTATGTAATTATAAGGGGTTAATTTTAGCAAATGCACTAAAGTTTGTAATAAATTTCATTTCGAGTAATGCTATTTATAGTCACTCACTGCATAGTCGTCCTATTTGGCACACATATGACATGTAATTATTTGATGCATTAATGTGGTAGTTTTTTTACCACATTAATGCATTAAATACACACTTGATATGTGTGTACCACATAAGGCGACTGCTGTAATGAACGACTGCAAATAGCATTATTCATTTCAAAATGATCACCGAAGTGATTCTTTAACATTAATAATCACTCAAATTTGTAACTATTGCACAAAACGTCATTCAGTTGGAAATGTCACGTCACCATTAGGGTTCGATTTTGTTAGAAAATGAAAAAAAAATAAAATTGGTAATTAAAATAATTTTATTGGGATAACATGTTTTTCACCTTAGCTACTGTTCGATGAGAATTAAAATTAATTTTTTAATAGATTTTGATGAATGTATAGTTGAAAAGTTGTGGATCTCATAAAATTTGTAGTTAAAATTAGTTGTTGACTTTGACTTATATTAAAATTTGAACTTAATTTGTAACGAACAAGGGCTTAATTAATGGAACATAATTAAGGTATTACTACTTAACACTATGCGTTTACGAACAAATTAAAGTCTGTTTGATATAGATTTTCAAATTCATTTTTTTAGAAGTTATATTCAATCACACATTTTCTCAATAAAAATTCATTTGGTCGAACTTTTGAAAACTCAAAAAACTGTTTTTCAATATTTTTGAATAATTTTTCTTAGGCCTTGTTTGGGAGGGATTAGATTTTTCTACCGTAAATCAATTCTCATTTTCAACTACACATTTTTCATCACATCAATAATTTTTTCTTCTTTTTCAACCACACATTTCCCATCATATCACTATTTAAAATCAATTATTCCCCCAAAAATCTCTCCCAAACAAGCTTTAGGTCTTTTGCTTTTTCGATTTAGGAGGGTAATAATGGACAGATCGATTCGAAATGCACTGGCCATGTAACAAATCTGCGCGACCCAGTCCTATTAAAGTACCAGCCCGTGACAGTTCGAGGGCCGGACCAAGACTGGCCTGTAAATATGTGTCTAAGCTCGGGATTTGCGCCGCGACTTGGAGTGTTCCGTTAAAATAATTATTTATTAGAAAGTTGTCAGCCTTTAAATGTCCTTTTAGCCTCCTAAAAATTCAAATCCAAATTCAATTTTTTACTGTCATATTAAAAGGACATGATCATATAGCGCATGGTTGACTCTCGTTAAATTAAAATTTATTTTTTTTCTTTTTTATCAATCACATATTCTCCAATAAAATAATATTATACGTAAATTTAAAAATATTTTTCTCTTTTTTAACCACACATTCTCCAAAAATTAATACTCTCCTCGTTATAATTTGGAACAATGGAGCACAAACGGGGCTTAAACATACGAGTACAAAGTACACATAGTAATAATCCCATTAAGTTTTCTGTTGTTTGATGGCTACATCCACTCAATCCTAGACATTAAAATATTGAATAATGCTAGAGGTACATAATGATGCACATAATGGTGATGTGTCAATCATCCAGTTGTTGATGTGTAAGTGTGAAATTTGAATTAAAGGTTGGATTATATGTCACGTATAATTATGTCAACCATTATGTAGATGCTTATGTACGTATAGCATTATTCTAAAATATTCTAGGTAGAACTTGTTTGGGAAGGATTAAAATCGGATTAAAATTAAAAAAACTAACCGTTATTGTTGACTTTTATTAGACGGGTGGGACCCAATAACGACTATATTTTCAATTTTAATTGGATTAAAATCATTCACAAACAAGCCATTATGTACGCAATAATTAAGACAAGGTCCACATGTATGATGTTATGAACCACATAATTGTATTATATTTTTTCCATAATGTTTGGTACATAGTACCAATGTACAAAATCTCTTCTTAAATACTGTCGATCTTCTTCTTCTTTTTCAGTTGATTGCATATGGCCAAGGCACATAATAACTAATACACAGCTGGAGAAAATCTACTGTCAGTAAATTTTGCTTGTACTTTTTGACACTTCGCTGATAAAAAGGAGATTATCAGAAATTAAACTTTGTTTTGTTTGATGTAGCTAAAAATCGGATTTTTCATGGAGTTTGAAAAAATCGATGAAATATAGTTGAAAATTTGATAAAATTGGGTAGATCGAAAATAAAAAAATAAAAAAAGCCTCATTCAAAATGCATAATCGGGTAAATGGTGCATGGGACATTGGCCCAAAACGGGTATGGAAAACTTAGTCCCCGTCCCATTTAAATTTAATTTCAAATTTAATTTTTTTATCAAACAAAAGTAAAAAAGATCTTTCATTATTTTTAAAGAGAATATTTCTTCACAAATTGGAAAAAAATAATAATATTCACTAATTAAAGACGTAAAAAAAAAAATGGAGCGATAAATGGGACAGGGGCCGTCCGGCCCCATTTTAATCGAATATTGGGGGGCTAAGGTGATAAAAATATACAATAGGACGTGGGTGAAAATGATCGACCTGTCCTATTACCATCCCTAATATAATGTATGATTAAAATTAGTTTTTAACGTTTACTTAGATTTTTATCAACTTTTTAAATTGTACAAAACAAGAGCTTAGTTTAAGAAGTGCATTTGAAAGCATGAATGTATTATTTATTGTTAAATAATAATGAATTAGATGGCTCATGTGGTTGAAATGATCACAAAATAAAGCTAAATGTAATCAAGGACATAATATTCTTGGTGAAAGGGAGGATTTTAGGACCTCAAGCAAGAAACTTTATAGCCCTTTTTTCTTATTGAAGTTCAAAACTTCTAAGGCCAATGTTTTCAAAAGGATTTTTGTTTTTTGTTTTTTTTTTTTAACACTAAGTCGAAGCGAAGAGAAGAGAAGAGAAAAGAAGAAAATCCTCAACTCCTAACTTCTTGGTTCAAAAATTGCTTTAGACATCGAAAGTTTAATGTATTTTTCTATTAAAAAGAAGCATTCTTCTCCAATTTATTGCGCTTTTCATCCTATCACATCCCTACCATCTTCTCTTCGCCCCATTACAGCAGTGGCGGATTTAATGTGGGGCAGCGAATGTAATTATTGAGAACTGAGGTAAATTCCTTAACTTGTTTAGAGCAAAACAACACGATGAAAAATATAATAAAGATGCAGAAATTATTTACGGGACTGTCAAAACTTTGCACTATCTAAAAAATTACTATAGTTATAAGAATTTCGCTCACAAAACCCCCAAACATAGTATAAAAATTAATATCATAAGCTTTACAACTCCCATCAAATTTTCAGAACAATCTACAAAGAAAACAATAAAGAAAATTCAAAATACAGAGAATGCAAAAAATGGAATGATTTGATCACTTTTAGTTTTATTTTTTAGTGTCATCGAAAAGACAGTTGATGTTGTTAAGATAATTATTTTTTAGTATTCGCTTAAAATAAGTATATTTCAAACTATTAAT